AAGCAAAGGGGGGGGGGGGGGGGGCGTACTCTTATGTTTTGCATGCTTTAGCGGTTAGACCATTGACCACGCGTCCTCGAGAGGACGGAGCATTGTTCCCACAGGACCGATCACCGATGGCCAATCGTGCCTTCCTACTTTGCCAAAGGTGGCTCAAGAATGTCTTCCCTAGTCTATCTATCCGAACGATATCACTTCCCGCCTTTTCAAAACACTTCCTACTTCCCGGTACAGCTACAGTCTTCTCCTCTCCATTCCATGCCTCAAACATCTCCCTGTACCTCCCTTGTATTTTTCCCAGCTCAGTCATGTACACTTCCCTCTCCTTTTCGTACAACTGACATTGCGCGACTACATGAACACGGTCTTCGCATTCGAAGCCGCAATCACATTTGAACTTGTCGTCTTCGTCGTCTACCGTCCTATGTCTTCGTCGACGTTCTCGAAGGCCTATGTCCCCGGTCCTGAATTTGACCTTAAGCTTTGTCCCTGCATCCATTCGTCCGTGTAGGTAATCCTTGAACCCTATTCCTTCTTTCAACATTCCGTACACTTCTAGACCCTCCTTATCCTTAGTTCCTTTCCTTAGATTCTGTTCCTTCTCTCTCGGCACAAGCTTGCCTGCAGGGGGGGTTGTTTAGAAGGTAGGTCATTGGGGAGCGGGTGTACTCGTGTAAACGCCTGCCTGGTCATTACACCATTGGCATTACACTATTGACCTCGCATGCTTACACTAACAATGCGGGGACATATGCATATGTAGCGATACGGGTACGTCTCACAAGGATGAAGCAGAGACACAGTATGGGGGAAGGTCTAGGATTACACGGGGACTTCTTGCGGTATTTGTGTGAGCAATCGGGCACGACCGAAGTTTTGTTTCTTGACAATGGGTAGCCAAGACTGCTTTGCTTGGTTTTCATGCAACAGGCTCAACTGCCATTTACGGCAACCCCCGTTTGAATGCCCCCCCCCCCCCATGTTCCATGTTCGAAATTGTGTGCAGTATCCTGCCCCATGCCACTCCACCGCTTCGTTCTTTTATACCCCCCCTTCCACTCTACTGACTTGGTTTTTTATGTAGGTCACAAAGGTTTTCGTCCGGAACCTCAACAAGATCATCGACGTCAACTGGTACCCGGTAGAAGAGGCTCAGCACAGCAACGCCAGGCACCGCCCCATGGGGATCGGGGTGCAGGGGCTGGCGGACGCCTTCATCAAGGTGGGTGTGGTCCGTCAACATTTCGCGGAACCCCCGGGTGTTTTTTTTTTTTTTGGGGGGGGGGGGGCTCGGTGTACAGGGTCTGGCAGAAGCCTGCATCAAGGTGGGTGTGGTCAGTCAAGATCTCGCTGAACCCCTGGTGGATTTTTTTTTTCGGGGGGGGGTCGGTGTACAGGGGTCTGGCGGGAGCCTGCATCGAGGTGGGTATGGTGAGTCATGATTTCGCGGAACCCCCGGGTGAATTTTTTTATCTTCTTTTTCGGTGTGTCTTCCTCCGACGCGGGAAGCGTGCGAAGGTGTCCAGAGCGGCGTCATTGGACCGGCGATACATGTAGATGTCCTTATTAGGCGGCATCGGTCGGTGTGCTACATACGACGCGTGCTGCCCGAGATGTGGAGGTTCAATGAAATCGAACGAGATCATTCAAGATTGGGGGTGTTTCGAGCTAAGTGGTGCATGGGTCAAGAGGCTGAAGTGTTGTTTTGCTTTTTTTTTGTTTTGAGCCCCTGTTTGATTTGTCGGTGCCAGCCAACGCTTGGTGCAGAATCACGCTGTTGTTGTTGTTGTTGCTGGCGGTGTTGCTGTTGTTTTCGTTGTTGTTGCTGCTGCTGCTTTCCAGTGCCTTTTTTGCTCCTCTTTTGTGCGCTTTCGCAGACGCAAGTTTGGTCTGTGTGTGCCCACTCCCGCCTTTGTTCATGCCTCATGACTTGCGCATGTTCGACACAATTTATTTCGCCTTCGCTCCCCCCCCCCGATAGATAGGATAAAGAAAACATTCTTGAGTCACCGTTGGCACAGTAGGAAGGCATCGGTGATCCGTCCTGTGGGAACAATGCTCCGTCCTCTCCAGGACACGTGGTCAATGGCGTAACCAAACATGACTGCGCTCCCCCCCCCCCCCCCCCCCCCCCCCAAATTTTTTTTTTTTTTTTAGGGGGGTTTAAAAACGGCGTGAAAAAAAGGGGCCCCTAAGAGGGGGGGGGGTTTTGTTTAAAAAAAAAAAGGAAAACCCGCCCCCCCCCCTTTTTTTTTTTTTTTTTAAAAACCAATCCCCTTTAAAAAAAAGAAGGAGGGGGCCCCAAAACCCAAAATTTTTTAAAAAAATTTTTTTTCCCCTAAAAAGCGTTCTTTGAGGCTTTGAAAAAAAAAAG